CAAATATTTTTTTAGAGTTTGTTTTATATTTGAAACTTACTCCTTTTTTGTAATTTTTTATTGGTTAAATCTGAAACATGTGATTTTTGTGGAAATTTCAATTGCTTTATTTATTGCTCAGCTATAAAAAATACTGCGTAGTTATACATATATTACCCAGTTATGATTGGTGATGATCGGTGCGGTAGTTTCCGAGATCTGAGTTTTGGACGTATACATCGCGAGCTCCATTATAATAAGATTCTTAGGTTTCAACACATAGTCGTGCAGGTTAGGGTGCTATTCACAGAAAACATTTTGATTTTATGCTTGGGATCTTTATACGCATTAAGTCCCGTGACTCGAGAGATATTAATCACATTGAAGAGTATCGAAATTCTTGAGTTTTCCACATTCTGAAACTAGTATTACACACAGTGTAGTAGAAGAAACGTTTGTGTAACAAGGATTAGTTCCTCTCTAAACAATCAATTTTACTATTTGTAAAATAAATTGCAACTTTCACAAGAACTAACAGTTGTATATGAAAAATTTGGAAACTGTTGATTGGTTGGCTGACAATTATGGGCTACATGATATTAACGGAATATTTCTTGCTAGTGACGTCATCAAGCATCTTGTCAGAACGAGAAACTTGCATTTGTTCTTCGTATTATCTTTTGTTGCGTGTCGTAATTTGTATGCATAAATGAGAAGTAATAGACACTAAGTAATCATGTTATTTGAGAAAAGAGCCTAACCCTAATCTACTACACGATTAATGTTAAATAACAAAATCTGGTTCCCACCTTACTATAAACAGGTTTTGACCAGTCAGAGGCAAATCTCCGTTAGATGTCATTGTGTTGATGTCGTGTCCTCCTTACCTCGGCTACGGTACATTTACTTAGTATACTTTTTGGCTAATTTAAAGTAACATTTTTTTAAAAAGATCTAAAAAGGTAAACTTGTTGGCAGTTGTGATAAACTTGAATGTTGGTTTTGGGAAATCTACACTATAGCCTCAGTTAAAATTAAGTTGGTGCTATCTATTTTATCATAGTTGCACTCTGAAGTTTCGCTTGACGGAATTTTATTATTAGTTACCTTTTGTTTTTAATTGTTTTCAACAAGCAACAACTCGATCACATACGACGTGGCACAATAAAATTATTCATATGTGCTCTCTTAACCGACTGGTTAGTTAGACGATAGTCTTCATGACAACTCAGAAACTGTAACTATTGGCTTCTGAATAATTATATCTGCTTAGTAAGCCTAAAAGTTATCCATGCAATTGTTCTGACTTCTGAATAATTATATCTGCTCAGTAAACCTAAAAGTTATCCATATTAGTGTTCTCTTAACAGACTGGTCAGTTAGACGGTAGTCTTCATGACAACTTAGAAACTGTAACTATTGGCTTCTGAATAATTATATCTGCTTAGTAAGCCTAAAAGTTGTCCATACAATACAAGTGTTCTCTTAACCGACTGGTCAGTTAGATGGTAGTTTTCATGAAAACTCAGAAACTGTAACTAGTGACTTCTGAATAATTATATCTGCTCAGTAAACTTAAATGTTATCCATGTAAGTGTCCCAAATCTACTGGTGAGACTGCGAACTAAACTCCACAAAACAGTTTATTTTGAAATCATTATGGAAAAGTGTTTTCAGGCAGTTTTTAACTAAGTTGTCTTTTACTAAATGAATTAGCATCGAAGAACTGAGATTTTAGAACACGTAGAATCAGGGTATTAACAGTGACTGTATGTTATTACCGATACTTATAACAGGTTCGCGTCAACGTGACACACAGTTTTGTTATATATCGACTATAGAGATCAACATCTGCAACAGGTTGATTGTGCGCGTCATCGTGACACGTAGTTTTGTTATAGTAGTGATCAGTGGGTTTCGTCAGGATGTTTTTCTTTATTTAACGTTTAATAATTATTTTATTAAACAATTATATATATTTTTAAATTTTAACTTTATATTTTGTACGTTTATAAATGTGTTTTATAGACTTTAAAATATTTAACGGCTTATGAAATTTGCCTCTTTTTTTTTTTTTCTCTCTTCCTCTTTCCAGATACCGATAACTAGGCCTCAACGCCGAAAAATAAAGATTATACAAACAAGGCCTGATAACCCAACCAAGTCAATGGACTGAATTTAGTATTTACTGACACGTGACTTGTGCAACCTCGTCCTCAGCAGCTAGTTACGTAGTTGGGACGATTGGGTTGTATGGTTTATGATGTAGAAAACGTCACCAGAGAAACGGAACTCAATTTTTTCTGAAGGTTCTTGACATTTGAAGTTGACGTCTTTGAATGCGTTAACGAATATAAAAACGAAAGAAAACAAAACAAAAAATAAATGAATAAAATGTTGACATCGGTACTTGCAAACATGTCTAGCTCTAAGCAAGACCTACAGGTGTGTAAGCAGGATCAGATTGTTCGATATTAGAACAGAGGGTGTGTCCATATTCCGAGAAAAATTAAAAAACAAGTTGTTCTTTGGTGAACAATACTTGTATTGTGCGTATGTTTATTAAAGGCGGCATCTAGTGGAAGGTAGGGAAGTAGGGAAATTTATAGAAAGGTCATTGTGGCTAGATGCCAAAAAAAATTGCCATATTATTGTTGCTATGATTTAAAAATACAAGAACAAATACCAGTTTATAGTCACAGGTGAAGAATGGTGTACGTTTTAAATATAAAAAAATACGTTGTACGTTTCTAGCTCATCAGCTGACATGGCGTCAGTTTTTAATTGTAATGAATATGTGAATGTTTGTAAATACGTACCTTAATAATTATAAGAACTTTTAACCTCATGTTTACCCTGTTAAAATGTCTAACATAAACTATATCAAGTCTACAAATCTTCGTCCATGACCGATATCGACCGGGTTGTGTATTAAAGTTATACCAACAAGATCACAGGTTTTATGTTTAAAAAAATCGTGAAAACTAATTAACGATAAATAGGCTTATATAAAAGCGAGACCGTTATTCGTCTATAAACTGGGGACTATAATGATGATTTCTCAATTCAATTATCTTCGTTCTTTGATTTTTAAGCAATTTTGTTTAGTAAAACATTCATTGATTCAGATGACTTTGTGTTGTTGTTGTCTTTTCTAAGTAATTCATATGTCTAGTTTAACAATATTTTAGTTAAATTTGCCTTTCTCGAAATGTTTGTTCTTTTATTTTATTAACACTTTCTATTAAAATTAGTGTCAGAAAATTAAAATAATTTGGGAGCTGTTAACAGTAAATAGGAAAAAATAAACTTTTATAATAAATTTTTAACAAATGATAACCAGTGTAAAATAAATGCTACTTTTTTGCAAGAAATAGCCATAGCACTTTTTGTGTTTCGTAGAATGGACTAAGAATAAAAATAAATGTTATCATTGGTTGTGTGGACTGCTAGGAGCCGTTTCTGTTTTATAGAGCGAAGATTACTAGGTCAAATCAAACTTGCATGATACGATGGCTGTGTTATTTCACATCATAAGGTTGATCTGTAAACACACGGTACTGTATCATACACACTCATACCAAAGGTTGGTCTGTAAACACACGGTACTGTATCATACACAAACTTATACCAAAGGTTGGTCTGTAAACACACGGTACTGTATCATACACAAACTTATACCAAGGGTTGATCGTACCGGTTGTTTACACAACCTTTGGTTTGAGAGTGTGTATGATACAGTACCGGTTGTTTACACACCAACCTTTGGTTTGAGAGTGTGTATGATACAGTACCGGTTGTTTACAGATCAACCTTTGGTATGAGTGTGTATGATACAATCTGTAAACAAGCGGTACTGTATCATACACACTCTCAAACCAAAGGTTGATCTGTAAACAACCGGTACTGTATCATACACACTCGCATACCAAAGGTTGATCTGTAAACAACCGGTACTGTATCATACACACTCTCAAACCAAAGGTTGGTCTGTAAACAACTGGTACTGTATCATACACACTCTCATACCAAAGGTTGGTCTGTAAACAACCGACACTGTATCATACACACTCTCATACCAAAGGTTGAACTGTAAACAACCGGTACTGTGTCATACACACTCACATACCAAAGGTTGAACTGTAAACAACCGGTACTGTGTCATACACACTCACATACCAAAGGTTGAACTGTAAACAACCGGTACTGTGTCATACATACTCTCATACCAAAGGTTGGTCTGTAAACAACCGGCACTGTATCATACATATCGTCATGCTAAAGACTGATCAGTAAATAATCTGTATCATACACATTGTTATACTAAGGCTGATCTATAAGCAATCTGTATCATGAACATTGTTATACTAAATATTGATGTATAAATAATCTGTATCGTTCACATTTTTATACTAAAGGTTTATCTGTAAACAATCTGTATCATATACATTGTTATACTAAAGGTTTATCTGTAAACAATCTGTATCATACACATTTTCATACTGAAGGTTTATCTGTAAACAATCTGTATCATATACATTGTTATACTAAAGGTTTATCTGTAAACAACCTGTATCATACACATCGTTATACTAAAGGTTGGTCTATAAACAATGTATCATACACTATTTAATACTAAATGCAGATCTATAAACAATATGTATCGTACACTATTTAATACTAAATGCAGATCTATAAACAATATGTATCGTACACTATTTAATACTAAATGCTGATCTATAAACAATATGTATCGTACACTATTTAATACTAAATGCTGATCTATAAACAATATGTATCGT